CATTAACAATTTCCTTCCTATACTACTGCTTCTTTCCAGAGTGCTGCAATACTCTTCTTCCTGTGGAGATAAAAGATGGGCTGCTCTAAAGGTCCATGGTGGGCCTCTTTCTCATCCTGTCCTTCTACCACAGTGCAGGTGATCTTAACCCATGGCTTTAAATAAATCCCAGAGGCCAACAATTCCAAGTTTGCCTGATCTCCCTCCTGGTGTACATGTGTGTGTCCTCAGCACCTCTTCAACATACCCCCTTGAACAGCTAACAGGTATGTCAAATATGTCTAAAACAGAATTCCTTATTGTTCCCACTCACTTCCTAATCTGTTTCTAGGAAGTCTTCCTAGTCTCAGTAACCAATCCTACTACTGCTCAAGGCAAAAACCTAGAAGTCATCTGTCACTCACCCCTTCATCAATCCAGCAGTGAGTCTGCCAGCTCTAAATACAATACAGATCTCCAACCCACCATTTCTCCCCATGTGCACTGCTCTCCCTCTGATCCCAGCATCATCCCTTCCCTGGATTATGGCTATGATCTTAAAATGACCTCCCTACTTCCACTCATGAAATCTACAGCATAACCTCTACACAACTCTGCTTAAATGATTATTTAAAGCACCATCACTCATGCTTTAAGCTCTCCAATGACTTCCTACCTTAACAAAGATTAGAAACTCATGATCCTTCCAATGTTTGCTAAACTCTGTGATATCTGCCCCTTCCAGACTCACCTCACGTTTCTTCCCCCTTTGATATTACTGCACTTCAGTCCCATGGTCCCATATTTTTCTTCAAAAACCCCAAGTTCATACCCATCTTAGGGCCTCTGCCCTTGAAGTTCTATTTGCCTAGGACACCTCTTCCCCTCAGGCCTTTGCATGCCCAGCTTTTTGTTTGCATGTGTGCCTTAGCCTAAGGTCACATCTTCAGAGAGGACTTCCCTAACAAAACCTCTAAAGTTTTAAAGTTTTAAAACTTTTTAAGGTTTTAATAAAGCTAAAGAGACCCTATCAATACAATCAACGGGCACAGAGATGTTTCTTAACAGTTCGTCCTGGGGGCAGGGCCTACGGAACCTCTGAAAAATCCAGAGTGTTTGCCACACATTCAGCTAGAGCTCTTGGGAGGTCTTCAGAAAGTGTTTCAAAAGTGCCACAACCTCTATCACTATAATTTCTGGAAAAAAGACTGAGACCCAAGGTAAGTGCATACTCATATTACTAGGAGGCCAGATTGAATGATTTGTATTGTGAAGAAGTCCTGCACAAGGCTTGAATAAATATAAAAGATGCAAATACAGAGGCCCAGGATAAAGAGATCATGAAAGGTCTGGCCATGTTTATGGCCTGGTTACTAGAGGAGACAAAATGTACCAAAAAAAGGAATTCAGGATGTTGAAGACGAGAAGCCTTCAAAAAATAGTGGATAATTAGTATAAACTTTCTTTTGAATCTCTCGTGGAGCTAAAGGTAAATTAATGACAACTTGACCTCCTGAAGTGAAGTGCTGGCAGCTGGAAAGCAAAGAAGAAAACTCAGAGAGGATTCTCCAAATGGGACCAGCTACTGAGCAAAAGGCTGTCACATTAAATTGGACTGAGGAATTTATCTATCAGCCAAGCACTATGCTAGAGGCAGAGAAGGAGCTGCTTAAATCCACTAGACTAGGTTTACCACAGGTAATGGAGCTTGGAGGGTAAATTTTGAAGACCTTCCCACAAGGCAGAGTAGAACAGACAGGAGAGAGACTGCCAGGGAATCTGTCACCATCAACAATGACTGTAATTCTCCTAAGCAAAGGACAAATGGGTGATGAATCCTTCTATTGGTAAGCCAGTGCTGAGTCCATGTGTAGCTGGGTACAGGCTGTGGTGTGAGAAGCTGGGCATATCAAAGAGGGTGACTGTAATTAATTAAAACATTGAATCTGTGAACCTGAACTCTCTGAGTGCGCGTAATGCCTCACTCAAAGTTTCTGGTGTTTAGAATGAAGGGATAGGGCGAGAAGAGTTACAGGGCCCAATGTCAATACTGTCCCTAAGGAGTAACTAAAAACACCATGCGAGTGAAGCATCTTGGGTTCTCTGCAACTCAACATCTGTGCTTTTTGCAAGTTAAAGTTCTAATTCTGAATAACTCCACTTAAAACTATGTTTCCTTAAAGGGAAACAAATACTTTTCCTCATAATAAAACTAACTCCTTGGTTAATACAGGAGGGTGGGATTAATTTTCTGCAATCAGATGCCTTTTTGTGTCAGAAAGTGAATAATTAAAACTGTGAGACTTTGAATAAAATTTCCTGCTTCATGTGTGTGCACATGGGTGGGCTATTTGCAGTTTAGCTTGGCTCTTTGCAACATTCTTGGTACGGACATGCGCATTCTTTGTATGTCTAAATGTCTAAAAATTCCATTCTCTGTATGGACAGGACCCTTTTTGCTGGAGATAAAAATCCATCTATGGAAATTTACACCACGAGCGTAATCAATACAAAGACTACATCCCTTGGTTTGGGGATTTGCCAAATAAATAACTGGACTTTGGAAACTTAAAAATTGTTAGTATAAATTAACACATATACTGAACCACAAAAGTCTTCTGTATTTTAGACTCCCTATCTGCTGAATTTGAAAAAAGGCGAGAATGTGGTTTTTTAAAAACATTTTATATTTCAGTCATAATTTCCTTGATTTGAGGAGATATTGCTTGTTAGATTCCTTGGATTTCAAGCAAAATTCCCCCAGTTTTTAAGAAAAGAACACTTTTTGTGTCAAAAGCAACTTGTCTTGACAAGTTGGCTGGAGATTAGACGCTGATAAAAAGGGAAAAAAATGTAATGTAATGGCAACATGCCAGCAGTTAGAAGTTGTTTGAAACTTTTTAAGCTTTTTAATAATTTTGGCCTAAAGCCACTACCTCCCAGCTTGGCAGAACAGGTGGAGGTAATAACTCCACAACCATTTTCTAGTGAAAGCACAGTATGAAGTAATTTTGAAAGGATTATTACACATTTTATTTTTAAATAAAAAGTAAAAGGTGATGAAACATATGGTATAAAATCTGGGGGGTCTAACATGATGTTTGCAATTGAATTGGGGAGGAATTTGTCAGTAAGTTTAGCCTTTCATCTTTTAGGTGAAAATGTGTTTTTTCTCATTCTCGGTAGAGAAACAACCTTAGAATGTAAAACTGTGGATATGGGCAGGACATATTATAACTGATACCCCAAACTATGGCTACTTATATACTAGCAGATGGAATCTCCTATGTTTTTACATTTCTCTGTGCAAACACTTGGGGTCTGACCTCAAAATGTCTAAAAATTCCATGAATATTTTAATATATATAAATATAAAGTGAACATGGAAGTATAACTGAACTGTGTTGTTTATATTTTTCTTTTATGGTTTGATTTTTGTGACCCCAGACCATGCTGTAGAAGCTCACAAAGAAATTGTCAGATTTAAACTTTCTTGTGAGAGTTTTTACATTATAACTGTATATGCATTTTTATACATTTTTTACTTATGTATTCATTTGTACCTTCTAAGAGGCTATAAATATTGACACTAGATTAAAATTTGACCTGAAAGCCCTTAATATCCCAGAAACCTTTTCTACTAATTTAATGGAAGCTTTTTAAATATCCAAAAAAGAAAGCATGGTTTGAGTAAGATCTGCTTTGCCTAAGTCTCTTTTTTTTTTTTAACCTTACTTTAGAATCTGGAATTTCTGAAGAAACAGTCCTTGTGTTATGATTCTGTGCCCTCATAGCAGACTAGCAAACTCAGGGCAAATGGACAAGTGGGGGACTATTTTTACCCAAAAAGTTTATAGCCAGGATGGAGAAAAGAACTTCTCAAAGAGATGGATTTTTAAAATACTGTAATATTTTAAAAGCAAAGGAGGGAAAATATCAACCCCGAATCTTTCTGAAATCAAATCAACATCAAAAAGATCAATGACTTTATGAATGGGTTAATACAAAAATAGATTCTAATGTAAGGGGATCTAGTTGATAGTCTGAGGGTCAGATTCCCTCACCTTTCTCCTGTGGTTCCCTTGAAGAAAAGTCAGGATTTCTCGTTCTTTTTGGGCAACCAGTATTTGCTCTGATGGTGTTGACATGGAAGATCACTTGAATTTCTCACAGTTTGGAGCTAATTCCAAGATGTGTAGACATAAAGGCAAGAGGAAAGAAAAGAAGTAACAAAAAAGGGAAATAAAAATCACAACCTCTGCTCTGTTCCCAGGGGTGTTTCATCTGCATATCCACCATTAATCACATTAATCCCACAGCCCAAAATAGGATGGATTCACAACCTAAATAGATGATAGCAAAAATGTTTAAACACATGTTTAGTGCCAAAGTTAGATATTGTAAATGTCACATTTACCAGGTGTAGATACATTCGTGTGTAAATAAGCATGAACACAGAGTTTGGGAACATCTTACCCTGAAAATGAATTAGAAGCAAAACAAGCAAAGGCTCCAGTAAGCTGGCCTAAACCTCAAGAGTAGGCAGTCCTATCTCTAGGCTCAGGAAGGTTGGACATCTGCTCTGAGGCCCATGGAACTGAGCACACATCACCTGAGCAATGACAATAAAATTCACTCCACTGCAGAAGAGAATTATGCCAAGAAAAGTAGCCCCACCACTTCCATCATATCACTATGTTCTGTGTTTTTGTACCTACTGCTATTGGAAATATTTGCGTGTGTATGCACGGATATGTGTGTTTCTGTCCCACACTCATAGAATGCAAGTTCCGGGGCGCCTGGGTGGCTTAGTCGGTTAAGCGTCCGACTTTCGCTTAGGTCATGATCTCGCGGTTCGTGGGTTCGAGCCCCCCATCGGGCTCTGTGCTGACTGCCAGCTCAGAGCCTGGAGCCTGTTTCAGTCT